AGTCGTCAGTTCAAACAAACCTGGTTTACTGGTTGTCCCATCATGACCGGCCCTCTGTTCATAATGTTCCCAGGTCCCATAGGACCACCGCCGCCCGGTCCCATTGGGCCACCACCTCCCATATTCATGGGAGGACCACCAGGACCTGGACGCATCGGCATCATCGGCATAGGAGCTCCTCCTCCTGGTGCACCAGGACCCATACGAGGCCCCATCATTGGCGGAGGTCCAGCAGGCACAGTTCCTGTTGCTCCAATGCGTATCGTTCCCATATTCATACATGCTTCTTCCTGAAAATGAAAACCGGTCATTTTAAGTCGAAATTGTAGTAATGACATCAATAACGCGATTTTATTGTCCCAAAGATTTGGCAATGTTCAACTGTTACTACCCCAATCTTCCAAAATCAAGCCAGTATTTTGCCATCGTTTTTCTACGGGACAGATTTGGCTGAAAACTTACTTTCAGGGGTAGTTTGACCTCCTGATCAGGAATATTGCGTCCGCTTGCCCTGAAAGTACCCGGCGAAGGGGCCAGAATGCCTTCGATCACCAAAATTGATACTTGATTATTGGGGCTATTCGACATCCTCATTAGGAGAATAACATTCATCATTTTCGCCAGCGCTAATGGAGAACACTGCCACCAGCTGCACTCTGTTAAAGATAGTTGGCACGATAAGTTGTTCCTAGGACGTGTAGGGTCAATACGGCACAACGAAATTCCGCAATCCTGAACAATCGCTGCGTAGCGCTTTTTCCAAGGAAGCTACCTCATAAGGCCCTATCAAGCTGCAACATACCGACCCGAACGCCCACCGCGCCCGCCCGCCCACAAATGGACGACCGTACCTGATGCTCGTATTGCTTCATTTGCGAAGTAAAATATGAAGCGAAGGGATTGATATGAAGCGGCCGCGGTGCTGCATGGATATATGAGTACATACGTGCAGCCGTATTTACCATAGCAGGTTATGAGGCAAGATACCTATGAGGAATTCGTCCGAAAGTGTTCTGAGGAGCCACTGAGAGCGAAGGCTTTCCTTCACGATTTTTGACCGTTTCGCTTCGTTTTTCGCCATTTTCACCACTATACAGCACCCTAATAGC